AACTGGATGAGACAAACAGGCTACGATGGTACACGAAAACCATTGCTGAAGGATAAGGAAGATGGTTGGTTGACATCATTCAAAAAGACATAAAATTTTTATGTAAATCATTTCTGTATTGTTGTTTCCATACATCAGTTATTTAAATAAACTTTTTCATATAAGAAATATTAAAGATAATTACTATTTACCAAAATATTTGAAAAAACGTTGAAAGAATTTATTTTCATAAAGTACATAAATGTCAGTGTGATTTGCACATAGATGTGTTATCTACAGTAGTATCTTGAGGACGGATGGGTGGGTGAGGGTAAGTGTGAATGAAGGGGATACACCCACACCCACACCCACACCCACACCCACACCCACACCCACACCCACACCCACACCCACACCCACACCTTCAAGAAAACGATCTGGGATTTTAAATGATTCAGTTGTGATTGCCATATAATTTATAGCAGTTTTTAATCATATTCTCACCCATACCTAGACCCTTAAGTGAATCGTAGCATCAGCAAGATTTGAAATTGAAAATATTAACTGGTAGAGACTTGAAGACCGAGACATTCGCTTTAATCATATCCTAGATGACCAAAATGTGAATACATATGACATTTGACAGTTTATTTATGAAAAGATAATCATTTGGCAATTATATTTCCGTTCTACGTTATCGCGTATTTTTGAATAAAATCTCTTTCAATATCTTAAAACTTTGATATTTATTAAATGACTTTTTTTTGGTAGACACGATCACAGATAAAACAAAACGCTAAAAAAAATTGTTGTTGTTCTCTTTCTTTTGGTTTTGTTAAGAACCAAACTCCGAAGTATGCTCATCAATTTTTGTATATGTATAACTTCCACGACCATCCATATATAAACAATACTAAAATAAGAGGAAGAGAAATATTTTTCAATTAAAAAAATAATCTATATTCATTACTTCATGATATTTCCATAAACTTTTTCGATGAGATACAGTAAATAAAGTAATACCAGCCTAAAAGAAATTATTTAAATAATAAAAACAAACATATAAGATTTTAATAACTACTTACATTTCGACAGTATTCATACATAAATCCTTCAACATCAACTGAAACGGCACTTGTACATTCATCAAGTATAGCGAATTGAGGTTTATGATAAAATAAACGTGCCATCTTAATTATAAGAATTTAAAATTTATATTGATATAAATCATCAATATCGAAATAGACGCATATATAATTGTGGTTATATTATAAAATAGAACTATTTTTGTAACAAAACTGTTTTTTCGATTAGAATATGTATGTTTGATTTAAAATTTTCGTTGGAAAAAGAAAACAAACTAAATACTTACGGCAATACGTTGTTTTTCTCCACCTGAAAGTACATCCATCCAATCTTGTACACCACTTAAACCACCTTCTCGTTGTGTTAAATAAGTTAATTGTACTTTATCAAGTAATTCACGTAAATTTTCATCTTTAACTCCTTTACGATGCATATCACCATGTGAATCAGGATAAATAATTTGATCACGTAATGTACCAATTATCATATATGGTTTTTGTGGAATGTAAAATAGATGTCCACTACCTGGTTTTGTTAAAGTTCCACTTGCAATTGGCCATAACTAATAGATATATATAATGAAATCGATAATATAATTTATAAAATATCTTACTTCACCAATTGTACGAAATAAACTTGATTTTCCACATCCATTTGGTCCAACAACAATAACATTTTGACCTGATCGTACCGTAAAATTAAGATTTTCAATCAAAACATCACCTATTAACATATATATTAACGTGGAATTCTGCGATACAATCAATCAAATATAATCTTACCATTTGGAGTCATAAGTTTAACATTTTCAAATCTAAAAAATGAATTATATTAAATCTAATTTCAAAAACCAATTTTATTACTTTATAATTCCATCTTGTGTACGAATTTGTCCTTGATCATTTCTGTTGCCCATTGTAGTATTATTAATTCCAGTTCGAACACAATTACCTTGATTGACATCAGATAAAACTCCAATTAAATCTGTAACACGTGTTGTGAAACTAATTAAAAGATTATCATTATATATATATACTTATTATTAATTTAATTCTTACCCAGCTAGTTTTGTTAATTCACGACCAGCAAGAACCTAGAATCAATTATATTTTTCAATCTACTATTAATAATAAACATCTCTTACCAAACGACCAACAGCTAATAAAATATAAAAAAAATTAAATTAAATCTGTGTATTAAATATTACAAAAAATCATACCTTCAGCAAGTCGCATTAACATTCGACCGGATGAATAATAATCCTACACAAAAAACAAAAATTCATTACTACTCTAAAAATCACTTCATTTTATTCACCTCTAAAATTTGATTATATGTACTATTGGCATGTCTTGTATTCAATGGATCCAAAAATGGTCGACTAACAACATAATATCCGACACATGTTGATATATCTAAATAATTTAATTTATTCATTCGTAACTCGACATATACAAAGAATTTTTCAACTACATTAATCATAGAGATTCTTAAGATTTCATCGTGATAAAACTAGAGGTGTAAGCTGATAGAGTAATCGGCGGCGGGGCTAAGTTTTAAAAATGTTCGGCGGTGCGGATTTGATATTCCAAGGTTCTACAGCAGTGACGGCTCGAAAATTTCGAATACCATCGGCGGCGGCTGCTCAGCCGCACGGTTTACACCTTTAGATATGACACTCATTTTGAAGCAGTCATATAGATTATCAATAAAAAAAACGAAAATTGCTTGGTTTTTAGAAACGAAATCATGTCAACAGAATGAGAATTGAACTTCAGAGGAAATCTTCAGTTTAATTAAAATAGATTGACATTAATATAAAAATTTTATAAAAAGATTGAGAAAAATGTCGTTTTGTGAGAGTTCACTTCAGATACTCTTCTTTTGACATTGATGAAAATATAATTTAACAATAGAAAAGAGTGAGAAATATATACTATTGAAGGTATATCTATAGATGTTGTAACTATGTAATCTAATTAATATTTATCAATAAAACTGTCTTTTTTCGTATCAGAATTACGAACTTTTATTGTCGTATCAATTTGTCATGAGAATATTACAGACAGTAACTAAGTACTTTTTTTTATTGATATCTGTCATTTACGATAGTTTGCCAAGTTGATGAATGATACATTATCTGTCTGATTTCTAATGTTTCTCAAGTAATTATGACATATCTTTAAAATCTCTAATACTAAAGTTTATTGTTCGTAAATTAACTTACATTTTGCAACAACACTATCAATACAACCCATAACTAATCGAAAGATAATTAAACTTCGTAAATGTTTAATCTTAAAAAAAAATATAAAACATTTTTTTTTGTTAATAAAAATTATTATATCTACCAATCGTTCAAATCCATCACGTATAATCATTTTTTCTCGGCGACTACCATTATAAAATGCAATTTCTTCACAATTTGTTATTAAACGTGAATTAACATATCGAAATTCTCCTTCAAATTGTTGTTCAGCAACAGTCATACGTCCAATAGGACGACGTAATCTTTTATTATATACAAAATCTTCATTCATATTTATTAATTTCATGAAATATTTTACCTTGTTAAAACAAGACCTGAGCAAACTAAATAAAGAACTAATAACGATGGTCCACCTGGACCTATTGATCCTGAGAGTTTTCTTGCATAAATAATTATATCTAAAAATGGCTAAATAGAGAAAATTTTATATATACATATATTAAATCATCCAATAAAATTACTTTTGAAATATTTGTATAAAGATCAGCAACACTTGAACAGAATTTTTCAACATCTTGTGTTAATAATTGATCAATATTATTAATACGACTATCAAGTGTATTAACTTGATAATAGGTAAATCCTCTTCAAAAAAAACGAAAATACTTTCTTCGACATATTAATTTAAATTTTTGTTTTACTTAAGATATTGGTCATATAAATATAATGATAAACGTTTTCGAAAACGTAATTTAAGTTCTTCAAGAGTATACTATAAAAACACGTATGATAAATCCTATTTTAATAGTTCTGTACTTACTCGAAGAGCATTATTAACGAATGCAATCTAAATTTTAAAAAGAAAAAGTAATCATGAATATAAATAACTATCTTCTATATTTTACCAATGGCATTGCATAGGCAAATCGCGCTAGATTTTCTTTAAATAAAGGTACATTTCGTCCAATAATTGCACTTTCTACTGATGTACTATTTTTAATCATCCATACATCAGCATAAGTACGTGCTATGAGTGACGCAGCAACAAGAGCAAGGAATAAACTCTAGAAAATATGAATAAATATAAAAAAAACTAAATATTTTGATAAATTTTACTTCGCCACAGAAAATTTTCGGAACAAGAATTTTAAGTAAAGCAATTAGATTTCTAATAGGAAAGAAAAACAAATGAATTATTTATTATTAAATATTTTTATACCGAAAAAATCTTTTATCAACAGCAACACTTTGGTTTTTCTTAGCTACATGCTAAATATAAATAATATTTTATAAACAAAATAAAAAAGAAGAAAACATACAGATTTCATAGATGAATTGATATCTTTTTCTAATAATCTAAATTAAAAAATTAAAATAAAATATTTTTCTGTACAAAACAATTAACTGTTTAGAACGTTGACGAAGCCATTTCACTGTCATCCAATATGATACCGCCATTGATGTTGCTAATATTAAAAAAAATTCTTTCTAATATAGAATTCAAAATATATCATCCTACCTAATACAAAACCATGGCGATATATAGCGGGTAATTTGCTCATACCAGCCATCGTTAAAATGAAAAATCTAAAAATATTGATATTATTAAGTACATTTGATTGTCTCTATGTAGAGAAACAAAACATAAAAAGTCAATTAGTTTTCTTTTTCTTCTTTCTATTCTCTTCTAAACGATGTGCATCAAAGATTATATTTCATTTTTCTGTTATAGAAATTATTTTAACGAATAAACAAAAGAAAAAAAAGTATGGTTTCACAAGGTAAGGAACAAGCAATTAAACATCTTTCCAATGCTAATTTAGCATTTATTGCCGTACTTTTGGATGTACAAAGTGATTTAACTGATAAAACAAACAATTTATATGAATTAACTTTTGAAAATATTCAAGTTATTCGTGGTAATCTAAATCAAATAGAAGATGGTACACATTTTAAATATCTACAAAGTTCAAAAGGTTTAAAATTTAAATTAGAAGATAAAAATAATGAAGAAAATAAGCAAGCTGCAATTGATGACGATGAAGTCAATGAACCCAAACAAGGTAAAACTTATCTAGCAATTCTTATTGATTCAAATAATATTACTGTTCTGGTTGAAATCAATCCTCATGATATTAATGAAATTCTTCAAAGTTCTCAAGATAAACAAACAACAACTATTTAAATTATTTTATACATCTATATTATTCTTATTTTTATGTTAAACTAGCATATTGATAGAGATAGAATTAATAATAAACGATAGTCATATTTAGAAAAGAAAAAATTCGAACTTTTGTATTATATAATGGGAGAAAAAGCAAACAAAATTAATGTTCAAAATACTAAATGATTGATTTCTTTCTTTTAATTGTTTTCTATCATGTCTAATCGATGTCAATTATGTACTATAGATAACTATTCTTGTTATTCTGAAATAATCTATTGTTTAGAAAAGAGTAGTTCGCGTTCATTGATCGGATGAAAGCTTATAACTATTGATCGATGACGGAGTTATTAAAATGTGACTCACTATAATATTATAGTGGATGGTTGATTCTGTCACCATCAATACAATAATTGTGTGAGGACGCCACAAGTCAAATAATTGAATGCTAGAATCATCATGCTAAGTCGAATATCTATTTATAAAAATTACCCCTTTCATATCTGATGGCTGATAAAGCAGCAAATTATTACAAAATTCATAATATTATTAGATTTTTTTTTGAGATGTGAATGAATCAACTCTAGAGTAGAAGTGGTGGCTGATTATATTCGTAAATGTTCTTCTGACTCCCATCATTTTATTGAGTTTTAAACCACTATATATATAAAGCAGTTTATTTGAGTATTTTGACCGCTTTAAAAGAAAATCAATTTCTATCTTTAGCAGTTAAATGGAAAAGGATGGCGGATCAGCTATTAATTTATAGGAGACATGACTGTTTATTTTACATTTTTCTGTGGTATGATGTTCGTTACAGAAATATACAAAATTATATCCTTAGCATAAATCCTGCATTATATATTTGCCAAAATTGGTGTTGAAATATACAACATTGATATCTTTCTTTTATTACTTATTTTTCTAAGCACATATACATAACATTAGAGTATAATATGACAATCATTCTGATATGTTTAAAGTTAGAAAATATACAAAAATCAAAATTGTCAGATATTGATAAATAGAAGAATAATCCATCATTCAAGTAAATTATTAATTTCATATAAAAATAATTTTTTTTTTCTTATCTGAAACTTGTGTTTTTTATTTTTTAATCTTTATTGCATCGCCTAAGGGTTATAAGATTCAATCGATATTTTCTATAATATTAATCATTAAAATACATGTTATTTTTTTGTATTTTATCCATATGTCAAACGATTAGTTTCTGTTGGTAAACAAAATTACAGGTAAAAAATAGACTAAAATATATGATTGACTGTATAAATCAAATCATATTTTCTCTATAAGGACATACATGAAAAGAAACAATTATTTTGTTATTATTCCATTGAAAATAAGATAATTTTTTTGAAATTACTCTTTTATTAAATAAATTTCTAATCAATGATTTGACCTATTCGATGTGTAGAGAAGGAGACAGAGAGAAATCAAGTATGAAATGCTAGAGTATTGCTAAATGATACAGAAAAACTACTCTAAAGAAAACAAAAAAGGTCATCAAACTTATATACGATCGATTGATTATTTATGTTTGATCCTTCATAATATCCGATATCGTTCAGTTTTTGTTATTATGATAACAATTAATCCTCTCCGATTGCACACATAATATACATTTGATTTGACGTTAAAAAAATATTATTCTATATTCATATTTTATTGATTAGTTAATAATTTACTATTGTTAAAACTCTTATTTATTCTTTATTAAGATATTTTGATAAATACTCTTTTTCCTATATATATGTAATTGTGATATATGTATGTATAAGAAGACAGAAGAAAAAAAAATAAATCAGCGACCGACAAAAACTTATTTTCACAATACAAAAGAAAAAAACCAACAACAACAACACTGAAAACACACATATGAGTAAATAAATTTTTAATAATTGATTCTCAAACACCAATACAACCTGATACTAATCTCCTCCATGTTTTATTTGAATGTGTATGATGACGTGTTCGATGTTTATCATTTTGTTGTTCAATTAATGGTAAAATTGATTTTGATGGAAGTGGTAATGATGTACTAGCTTCACGAAATTCTAATGCCGTTAAAACAGCTGTATCAAATACAGTTTTTAAGTTTTTCTCTGTTAATGCTGAACATTCAATATAAGTACATGCATGAATTTGTTGTGCATATAATCGTGCATCTTTTTCAGTCACCGGTTGTAATTTTTGTTGATCAAGTGTTAATAATGTTTTTAAATCAGATCGTAAATCCATTTGTGTACCAACAAGTATTATTGGAATTTTTGTATTGGAACGACGTGCACGAGATAACCAATATGTTATTGCATTTTGAAATGATTGAGGATTAACAACACTGAAGCAAAGTAAGATTACATCACTATATGGGATACAAAGGCTATGTAATGGTGAAAATTGTTCCTAGAATAAAAAAAGTAGAAATATATAATTATATCAATCAATGAATGGTAGTTTGTATTCTTGGAATTAACTTATCATCAAATTTTGACCCTGTGTATGTGTTCCTTCTATTGAAAGATAAGATTTATCAATCAGATCTTTTATCATAAAAAGTTAAGGTTATTACATTAGTCGAGTTATTTACCTTTCCTCCCGTATCACAAATATCAAAATGAACTGGTTGAGTACCAACAGAAATATCAACAGAATAATTATCAAATGCAGTTGGAACATATTGTTTTGGAAAACCATTTGTTGTATAACTAACAACTAATGAAGATTTTCCAACACCACTATCACCAATAATAACTGATGTAATATGTCCACCTGTATTATGTGTATTTGTATGTGATGATGATGATGTTGATGATGATGATGGTACAAGTGGAACAGATGAACTTGATGATGAGATTGTTGTTGATGATTGAGTAGCTGATGAAGAGATTGTATCGAAACAATTTGGACTCATTTTCTAAATACATACAAGATTAAATTTAACATTCAGAAAAAAAGCAAACGAATATCTCTCGAGTTTTTGTACATTATTATATATATGTTTTATGATGATAAAGAAGATATTACGTATGAATATAGAAGAAAAAAGACAAAAATGACAGACACCTAAAAATATTCGGTTACAAACAGAACTATCTGTTACTGTCCATAACATAGATTTTAATACTATTAATCTACAGGAGAATGACAAATATATATTAACTCAAAATTAATATATATTACATTTATCAAAATACCTTTTGAATATGTATATTCGAAGATTTTATTAATATTGGGGAAGACATCGAATGTTGATTGTTGTTTAGTAGTTCTACTAACAATAAATGATCTTTAGAGGATAAATAAACAGAAGAAAAAGAACTTGCTTGTTATACGTGCTCTTTTCTCTCTATTTGTCGACCATCTCGATTAGAGATATTTCTTATCATATATCATCATCTGGTTTCTTTTACTCCATTCTTGCTTATCCTAACAACGACAAACAAGGCTAACGAGATGGATAGAGAGAGAGAGAGAAAAATTTGAAGGGCGATCTATCTTCCTATAGTTCTTCGCCTATTTTTTTTTATATTAAGAAATCATTTATTCATAATCTTTTTTTCTTCTGTCTTTAGTTATTGTCAATAAAATAATAAACGAAACGAGAAAGAACATCAAATCACTTCAACAATGCATATACACATTGTTTTGATTTCTATATAGAAGAAAAAAAAACAGCAATAGAATTAGATCAAGATGCGATAGTAACTTAGCTAGACAAGTAAAATGATCTCTGATATATATCTAATGATATAGAGAATGAACTCAATTAGTATGTGTGATGTATATTAAAAAATAAGATTTAATAAACTTCTAAATCGTTGACTTACTTTAACCATAATTTCGATATTGACGGAAGAGAATGTATGATATATGTTGATGTGATGGTTACGGTCGGAAATCAATTTTTTGAAGGTATAACCGGAGAAAAACGAGCGAGAGAGAGAGAGAGGGGAGAGTAAAATAATCACTTTTTTTTTCTTCTGTTGAGGTCGTTGTCGTTCCCTTTGCGTCTTCTCAAGGATTCAATGAAAGCAACAAAAAAATTATTGTTATTACGTCACTATTATCACTTTTATTCACTCTTTAGGGTATACACAATATCTATAGAATAAAAAAACGAGTAGCAATTTCTGATTTATATTTAACTTACATAAATATACAATCTCTCTTTCCTTGATAACAACAAATGATAAAAAAGTCAATAATGAATAATATCGATATAAAATACGAGAGCCTAATAAACATAAACATGTATTGATAAAGAGAAAAAAAGGGAGAGGAGAATACAGTTTTCTAATTGATAAACATCATAACGTTGTTGGTCACACTCCATCAAGTCAAGGTAAAAAGAAAAAAAAGAGAAGCAAAAGAGGGCAAAAGGTA